AATGCGCTTATATTATACACATTTATTATTCTCGGAAATAATAAATTAGGTCTCAAACTGATGACTATAAATTAAATAAAAACTATTTTCTCAGTTTTATATGGTCACTAAACTTGATTTTACACTCTAAGGGAAGATAGTCGACTGTGGATATTTGATAACAGGGTTACGAAAAGAATATTTGTATCTATAAGGGAGGAAGTAACAGATGGTTAGAGAAAATTGTTCATAACTTGTGCTTTTCACCAAATCAAGGATGAAAAAATGTGTGGGACATAGTATCATGCACTGAAGAGACGATAAATAAATTCGATTTAGTAATAAAACTTGAGGGGAAGAAACCACTTGTCATAATTCGACATAGATGGGGTATATATTAATATGAATTTTAAATGAATGAAGCTATAAATATAGAAAAGAAAAGGATTCTGCTTCACAGAATGTATTATAAACATCCTGAACGACGAAAATCAGGAAGTTTCGGGTTGCTCATCCTGTATCGTGAACACGACTGGAGTAACACCTCTGTTCAGAGCATGAAATTTGTCTGTCATCACAGCAGTTTCATATGCACGTACTGAATTGTTTGTCTGAGGGTCAGATACCTGATACACTAGTACCGCGGAGGCACCCCTAAGTGTCTAGGACAAGTTTCCTGCTAACCTCGCCCCTCGCCCCTTGCCCTCCTCGCGCTGGAGGCACATTCTGTTGAACTATCTTCACGAAGGTAGGCTATACCAGGGACAGAGATGAATCTTGCCTTATAGTAATTTAGTGCGACAGTGAAAGAGATTTCTTCGTACTCTGTGCTAAACTGGTGCCAAATCAAACTTCCTACAGCTTCAAACCTGAGTATTCTGGCAATAATTCGGACAAATATACTCCTGAAGCTGGTAACAGAAAATTATTTCAGCCTTATGATAGAATAATAATTTAAAATGCGAAATAAAGCTGTATTACATTTATATATTATCATCCACAAATTATTAACAAATATTGAAAACCCAGAATATTACATTAACCGCTGAAGAACAATGATCAATCTTTATTATAAGTCACTTTAGGTCTCCAAAATCATAGTACAGATAAGTTACACTCTTGTATATTGATGACACGAGATATTTATCTAAAACGTTTATACAACCACCTAACCTTCTACTGGGTGTTTCTTTCCCATTGTAGGTGGCCGAAGCCTGAAGCAAGCCACCAGCCTCGATTCACTATTACTAATATCTTAGATACGTGTCCAACAGATTACGTCTTCGCAAAGAAATCTGATGATAAACGACGACAAGCCATTTCATAAGTGCATCTGATGTTCTTTAATGTGATATCCACTGTCATATTCTGAACTCTTAAAAATATTAAACATTGCTGTTGGACGTTACGAAATTTATTTAATGAAAAGTTTGGAACATTGTTTGCAGGCTCACGCGAGTAAATGTTGATTAGAACTCAATAACAGCCAGTCTGATCGATGATATTCGTTACTTCTCACCTCGTACTACAACCCGAGAGGCATTTCCGTTGACAGTGTCAGGGCACTCGCTGCTTTTAACAAGCTCTCCTTGTATGTATTTCTCTTGCAATGAAATATCAGAGATATTTCCACACTTTATATATTATACATATATTGCTATGAGGTGTCGAGTACTACCACTAACAGAATTTTAATTTTAAAATGTTTATATAAATATCATCACACTGACATTCATAAATATATATATTTTTGCTATATGTCCTTAGTTTCTATAATATAAAAGAGATTATTTTAAAATAATAATACTAAAAATAAATAAAAATATTAGATAATTTATTAGATACATTAAGAAGAAATTAATTCACACCCCGTAAATTAAAGTTGTTGTCAGACACATTTTTGAAGACATTAACTTTGCAGTGTCTTGCAAGTTTGGTCTTCTAACAGTATCTACATTTGTCCTGGTGGCGAAGAAAAGACGTTTTTGAAATATTATAATAATGAATGGCTGTACTAATTTAATGAAGCTCGTGTGATTTGTGGGGAACGCGTCTAAGTATGGAATCTATGTAGGAATGGACTTACTCAGTTCGGATCATTTGTTGCACATGAAATTATATGAAACGTGGCCTAATGCCAGCAGTGGGATATAAATGAATTCTGCCTGACTGGATAACTACTGAAAACAGTTTTGCTGCTGGAATGAATTCTGTCTGACTGTATAACTACTGAAAACAGTTTTGCTGCTGTTGAACTTTCTAGCATACTTTGTCTAAAATTCTTGCTAAATATTAAAGAACTGATTGTTTCAAACTTATTCGAAATTTGAAAGTCTAAATACAGAAGATAAGGTCATTTTTAAACCGATGCATATTATTGATGAATTTCCTCCAGCTATTAATTTAACAACATTAAAAATTATTTTAAAATACACGACGTTTCCAAAGCTGGCTTTGTTAAATCAACAGGTGAGCATATTTTTAAATTAAAAGACAGGGGAAAATTTTAAGTATGTGTTTTTTAGTTAAGAACACACCCTTGTCAGAACACCTTAGAGAAAAAAAACGCGTTTATTGAAATTATGTGCTGCATAATTGCAAAGTTTAATAACATAGGCTAGCACAAACTTGCTACTATCCTAATACGTCAAAATCATTATCATGTGTTGTAAAATACTTTCTTCAGTAGGCTTCGCTTTATGACAGACCCTGAATCTAATTCTAACCTCAAGACTGGTATGGTCGAACAGAGCTGAAGTATTTTTTTATACGAACTTACCGGCAACTTGTTCTACAGATTCAAAATGGAAATGCTGAGGGGAAGAACTTCACAAAAGGATGGGCAAGGCGTGGCTGTCTAGCTCACCCATATCTTACAATTTTTTCTGCCCGGGTCCTAACTTAAACGTACATAAGGGCATTGTCTGAGATAATCTTCTATCGTTACAATGTGCTCTTTTGTTGCAGATGAGGGTAGCTGCTGGAATAGCTTTGCAAGTTAGAGAATCCTCCAGAGTGAGCGTGGCCAATCGTTTCTCTTCTGAGTAAGACGCTCTGGAGACACGACACTTGTCGGGCAACAGTGGCTTATCTCCAATCACACATATGGATATGGAAAATCTAATAATCTGTCCAAAATCTGTGGGACTCCTGTCTAGGAAAATCAGACCACAACTTCGTCTGTCTCTGAATTTCTCAACCCAGAACCAATAATTATTTATTCTAATTCTTATTTGTCCGATGGTCACACTATATCGACAGTTGATTAAATATGTAAATATGAAGTAGGGTAAAAAATTATAAAAAATTAATGTCTGCCTTCAAAGTCACTAACAGTATTTTAATTAATAAATTGTTCTCATCAGTAGACCACCTAATTTGAAATTTTAAACAATTATTGTACCTTTTCATGTTGTTAATTTTCAGGCTTAAAACAGATGTGTACATAGGTAATTCCTTTTCCTGAGACAAAAATTCAGTCTCATTTATGAATTGTTTACATATTTATCAAGTATGTGTTTAACGCATTTCACTTTTATCGAAATAGCTCTTGTATTTGTAGAGAATGGAAATAAAATATAACTCATGCATAACATTCGGTCCACGAAGGGAGGATACAAAAGGACAATACTTAAGTTTGATGCTGCAGCAGATCCACAAGGATCTGTCGGCTCACATGTTACATTATATTTAAATATATCTGTCAAATTATGGCGCAGCCCAAAAGGACTCTCATTTCGTCTGGCTTTTACTCTGAAAGTTGTGGATTCACTTTAATAGTCAAATTTCCTATTTTCTAATTCTGAGTCTTTCGTTTACTCAGCAACAAACACAATGTCCTAATCTCAGTTAGTGGTCAAATTTTCTATTTTCTAATGCTGAGTCTTTCGTTTACTCAGTAACAAACACAATGTCCTAATCTCAGTTAAGGAAAACTTGCGACGAGAAAAAAAAATTAATTAAGCTTACGATGAAGATAATGAAACATCATTTTCTTCTTAAAGTGCCCATCCGCTCCGGATGTTAGCGATCATCATAGTAATTTGAACTGTACTGGCTGCTACTTGAAACAGCCCTCCAGTGGACATCGAGAACCAAGTTTTTAGGTTCTGAAGCCACGAGATTCCTGGCCTCCAGGTCCTCTCTTTCCGAATACTTTCCCCTGGATTATCAGCTGAAGCAGCCCGTATCTATCACTGTTTCTCATGATATGACCGAAATATTCCAACTTTCTCTTTTTCATGGTCTTAACAACCTCGACGTCTTTACGGAGTTTCTCGAGAACTTTTTTGTTGGTTACACGGACAGTCCAGGAAATTCTGAGAATACGTCGGTACAACCACATTTCGAAGGCCTCCAACTTTTTTAAAGAAGCTTCGGTCAACGTCCACAATCCGCCGTGTAAAAGCACGGAGAAAATATAACATCAGAGTAGTCTTAACTTGGTGTTTAAGTTTAAGTCTCTACTCCTGAACATTGATCCCATTTTGATGAAAGTTGCTCTGGCTTTTTCGATACATTATTTAGGACTGTAAATTTTAGCACATAAATATATTATTTGTCTTTCCTTGTCTACTAGTCATTGTAGCTAATATTGTAAACTCATATTAAACAAATATTACGAAGTTTTTAAATATTTTTTCTTGTTTTTAATATCAATACTAGTACAACTATCTCATCATGGGGACAATCTCTGTTAACAAAAGAGTAGGCCGAAATTTCTTTTGTTTCAACAGAGCTTGCAGTCCGAACCAGCCGAGGAATTATTCGCGAAAGAAACCGTGTGTTCATTGAAGAAACCAATCTTTTCACTTGGGCTACTTATGTTCCCAAGGGGGTGAGTGGGGTGGGGGGTAGCACAAGTGCTCCAGCCTCGCCCTGTACTTTCTTCTACCGCACGTCTGTCCGTCCGTCCGCGCATCGCATCGTCGTCACTGCAGAGCGCGCTGCGCCTCGCTGTGCTATGCTGCAGACTCGATTTACTGTTGGAGGAGCCAGGGGGTGCAGAAGGGTGGGGCGGGAGCGCACATACACATCGCGTAAGCAGAGTGAAGAAGTGCGGAGGAAGGAATGGTGGGGACTACAAGCATACGACAGAAAGAGTGAGATGGACAGACGCAGAGAAGGGAGGAAGAAGGATTATTAAGGGTTGGAAGAGGGTGAGTATGATGGGGTGGTTGGCAGTGGTGGCGATGGTGGAGGAAAAGAGGAGAGAGAGGGAGTTTCGCCATTACTATTATCAGCAGAGCCTTTTGCTTGCTGCTTCGTGAAGTGGTGTGAGGCTAGCTGAGGTGGACGAGTGGGTGGCTGGGTCAGTTTTTTGGGGGGGTGCGGTCGGTTGAGGGGTGGGGTGATGGGGAGTTTGGGCTGTTACTCGCTGAGTCTGCAGTTCCATATATCAGGGAAAACCTACAGCACTTTCTGGACTTAACCCTACCCTGTTTCATGATGTCTGCATGCCCTCATGGAAAATTCACGGCTGTACAGAAATCTGTACTATCGCAAAATTCTCCTGAAATTTCTATATAGAGTTATTCATTTTGAAACCGCGCCGAAATATGCTTTAGAGACATTCAGTTTCTCTTCTATCCTTCCTCTAAACCACCCTCGCTACGTACTTCCGTCCCTATACTAAGTGATGTACTTCATTTACATAAGAATTTCGCTCGGTTGAACTTTGCATGTAAACCTATTTTATGAACTCCAATAAGAACTCAGGTTAGTACTGAATATTATCAGCAATAAGTACATATATGACCATGTTACGTGAAGTCACGACAGATTTGAAGGTAAGCGAATTCTCGGTTTAACCAACAGACAACGCCTGCCGACTGAGTAAATGTAAAATTTATTCAATTTATTTGTGTCATTCATTAACACGATTTTCCCAGATTTTTAGCGTGGTAGTAGTTGAAAATATCCATATTTTAAATATCAAGACATACCAGTATTTACGTAATTGTTTTCTCTGACATCAGACATAAACATTTGTTTTCATACATTTACAGAATTTATTAGTATCCTATACAAGTATTTGGGGTGAATATACTTAATTTTTATTAATTACAGTCACAGTGGATTCACCCTACACGCATCTGTAAATATTCAAGTACTTAGCACGCTGTTGTTTTCGTTAGCTCTACATGAGATTTGACATGATATACATACGTATACTCATTTTCGAAAACTCTTCCTTTGTGTTTTGTAAAAAAAAATATCGAAATAATATAGGCAAATAAGTTACATATTGTATCTCACATAAAAAATCTAACCGACATTTTGAAGAAAATTTACATGCAATACTAATTTGTAATTAGTGAAAAAGAGCATCACAGTGATTATAAACAAATTATCACCTCGTGTTTACAAATATTCTTTCTTTCCAGCCTTAGAAGAATTTGAGTTTTCTAGAACACCAAAATGATTTGAAATACAAGAATTATGAAAGGGGTCGTCTTCGTCAAACAGGCGAATGTAAATACTTTGCCTAAGTTCATCTACTACTAACAGTTGTATTTCTTATGCGTATCCCACGAAGATCGTTTTAGGTTACGACGACCATTTACCTCGAAAATACACCACTGAGAAAGTGCAAATAAAATAAAATAAAATAAATGCAACGTGATTAAAATGACAGAGAAGATGGAAACATATTAATACAGAAATAAAGTTTGTTAGAAAGAGTAGCTGAAGCACTCTTAAAGAATGAGTAGAAACGGAATGAGATTTGTGCTCTATGAATGTAAGACGATGTCAGGGCTGTCCAATACAAAGGTGGAACACTTTCGATCCTTAAAACCATAACAGGCCAAGAGCTTAACCCGTGATGATTATAACAATTATATATAAATTCTAGAAATGCTTGCTACTCCTAAGTTTAAAATATTTTGACCTCCCTTCTAATTCCATATAACCTGAAGATTAAAATATATAAAGCAATAATTTTGCATGTTGTTTTGTATGGGTCTCTCACTTTGAGGGAGGAACACAGATTGCAGGTGTTTGAGATTAAGGTGTTGAGGAGGATATTTGGGCTTAGGAGAGAAGACGCTGGGGTATGGAGGAAACTGCATAATGATGGGTTTAAAAATCTGTACACCTTCCTCGATATTGTGAGGGTGATTAAGTCAAGAAAAATGAGATGGGCAGGGCATTTGGAGCGCATGGATGGGGCAAGTAGTGTGCACAGGTTATTGGTCTGGATACGCGAAGGCAGAAGACCGCTGGGAAGATCTAGTCGTAGATGGGAGAATAATATCAGGCGGGACGTATGGGAGATAGGAGTTAAGGAAATTGGATTTCGTTGTCCCAGGACAGTGGAGAGCTTTGGTTAATTCGGTGATGAACCTTCGGTTTCCGTGAGCCATCTAGTAAGTTAGTTAGTGTATTTTTATCAACAGGTGGAACTAGATAAATACAATAACAAAATTATGAAAGAATAACTATTCTCATTTTGTAGACTTACTGGGGTCAGTAAAATGGTATTTTATTTTTGGTAGAGTATACTTCAGGTATTACATAATAACAGTGGTGTTAACTGATTTGTTAAAAAGAAATTGTCTCTGAAACTGTAAGAATTATTATAGAATTCCATTTCAAATATTATTAATGTCTTATACAACTTTTATTAAATTCAGAACCAATTATAAATATTTTTGTGCTGTTATCTTGTTCTTTAGAACCTATAAAATTCGAATACATTACATGTGATAGGATATTATTTAGAGAAATGAACTGCATCTACTATAAGAAATATGAACTTCATGTTATAAATCAGCAGGATGCTGTAACATGCATATTTCAGTATGCCTACAATTTAATAAAATGCATAACGCATATTTATTACAACTCTTCAGGAAATTCTGAAATTAATTTCTTACAAATTAACGTAGTCAGATTATTTTTAATATAAAATTTATGACAAAGACACTCAGAAAAATTAATTTGGAACACACAAGTTAAAAAAGAAACTTCTATGTTGGCAACTGAAAATTAAGTTAAATGTTTCAGTTCACCAGAGATCGGCAATTTTTGTTAAGACAATATTTTAAGTGAATAAAACCGGGTATTAAGCAGCATGTAAACTGTAAACTAGTCCTTAAATAACTTTCTCTTCCCACAGATTGGATGAGACATTTTGGAGGCCCTTTTTGTGCCGCAGAGCCTCGGTTTAAATTTAATATAAATTATATTAAACTCTAAAGTAATAATTTTTAAATAAAAATATGTAATCGCTATAAACTATGTCTTTTATAAATCGATTATAGACAAAATTTCAGATTTTAAATACTCCAGAATTATATATGACGCTCTGTTGCAAGTAACAAAATATATCACTTAGAAATATGTGGGACAACTAGCGAAACTTTCAAGTGACAAGATAAAACAGGTTTGAAACCTAATAAAATGATGCAAATGTATTTAAATTTATAAATAAATGAAATTATTCTTCTATAATGCGCTCTTTCCTAGTGTGCCTACGAGTACAAAGGGAAGTAATAAGTTTCTATAACACTCGTCAGATAGCAGTATTTATTCCCGTTGATCCTTAACGTACTAAACAAATTTGTATAAAAATCGAATCTGTAACACTACGTCTTTAGGTATAACTCAGAAAATGATTAGACTGTTTTGTATCGTATATGTAATTTTTTTTTACCAAAAGCCGTAATCTACCAATTTCATAAGGAAAATAAGCAGAGTGTATTTTTCGATGCAGTGGCAGGCCGTATGGATAGTTTGGATTCCGTTGCATAACATACGTGTGTCTAGTTCAAACAAAAAAAATTGTGTATTTTGTTTACGAAATTAGTTCCATAAGAAAAACAACAAGACGAGAAGCATTAAGAATTAACGAGAACAAGTTTAGACTTCCAATAGGGACGCAGTCGCCCTCCGTTTTTCAGTCTGGGGGTTTATAAAACTAATCCTTAAAAAATTGAATCCTAAGACGAGAACAGAAAAGGATAACTCACCGCCTTAAAATCGATTACGTCCTAAGTTCGATGCATATCTGTGGATGTATAAGACAAATCACGAAAGCTTTTGAAGATAAACATGTCACTTGGAACACCAATTCCAATTTTTCTTAACGGTAACAGAATCACGTAATATTAACTGTAGCCAACGAAATAGAAAAGTGGACACAAATACAGGACTGAAGACAGGATATTTTACAGAATTTTTGAAAGGAGTGTTATCGCAAGTATCACATATTAGATTTTATATAAATTCTTATGGCAAGAGCAATCGATCTAGCCTTTGCACTGGTTTGCCATTCACGTGAAATAATTGAAAAAAAGAGAGCAAATCTTAGGCTAGGGTTGTGTTGCGGTTCGTACTTAACTTTCTTCGTTAGCAGTTCAGCTGTTACTGTGTCAGGTTTACCGGTTCGAATCCCTCTTCGTAAGCTGTACCGTCGCCTCATTTGGCATGGCTGTTGATTTGTAATATTTCCAAACGGAGAATAGACGACTCAAGACTGCAGTAATAGAGACTGAATTTCGGTTACAATTTCGTATCAGCGTCTGAAAACATTTGCTGAAGTAAAACTAACAAAATAATGTGATTGACGGAGGCGATACCATGAATTTTGCCTAAAAATGCTTTTTGAGGGACTACTAAAAAGGGAGGAAAAGAAAATTGCAGTGCATCAGAACTGCAAAAGTATCGTCACTGTCATCTTTGGTCTTGAATATTATTTAGAAGCTAACGGTCGCTCAGCTTGCCAATAAATTCCTCGTAGATTTCCGTCTTCTGGGTTGTTACGTTGTGTAGTCTGGTCGATGTTTACCAAAGTTTCAGAGGTCATACTGCCTCCGTCATCAGGGCGATGAGTATGAAGATTTCTGTCTTCTGGGTTGTTGCGCTGTGTAGTCTGGTTGATGTTAACCAACGTTTCAGAGGTCATACTGCCTCCACGAATGCCAAAGTCAAATATAACAAATTTTACATGTTATATTTAGTTTTTAAAAAATATGACGATGTTACGATCTGTAGTTCGAACACAAGTTGATACAAGTAGCGAACTGAATGTAGAAGTCGTGATATTTGGGCACTGAAAGTGATTTGCTGGATATGGTAAATCAATGCATCAATTCGGAGGCGAGGAATGGGTGTCGTTCAAGGGAATGTTCAGACAAGGACATTCTTAGATCGC